TCTGAGTAATATTGTTCAATTTTCTACCGTCGAAGCAGACCCTATAAGTATCATCAGATTTTTGAACAAGCCAGATAGGACTACAATAAGAGGATTTACTTTCTTGTATGATACCTAATTTGAGCATGTTGTCCACTTCCTTTTCTAAGTGGTTTTGTAATGCTTGAGGCAACGGATATTGTCTCTGCTTAAAAGGAGGAGCATCTCCGGTATCGATAACGTGTTCTAATAAATGAGTACGTCCCAACTTGTCTGAAGGACAAATGGTTTTGAATTTAGAAATTACGGTATCAAGATCTCTTGTTTGGCTAACAGATAAACGTGAGGTATCTTGAATAGTATTAACAACCGATAAAGATAAGGAGTTAATATTCAAGGTAAATTTAGAAAAATCAATTTTTATATTAAAAGTCTTCAAAAAATCCATCCCAAGTATAATAGGATGCTTAACAGAAGGTATAAGATATATTTTCATAAGGCGAGATATTCTGTCTACTGTGATGTAAGTATCAAGGTAACCTAAAACATTTTGTACGTGACCATCCGCAGTAGTTATTCTGAGATCATCAGCATTTTCAAAGGGAACAGACAAATCCTTCACGAAGTCAAGTACAAAGGAACTAACAAGAGATATATTTGACCCTGTGTCTAGAAGAGCAGAAAATGTCCTATCAAAAATCGAAATGTCGAGATATGGCCTATTATCCTGACCCCTTTTATATAGTAAAGAATCTACAGAATTTTTAACGTTAAGTGGTATATGTTTATTATTTTTAGATACTTGATTAGAAGTCGAAAGTATTGGTTTTTTCTGATAAAAATCTTTGACAAAATCCAGCCATGCATTCCAATCTTTTTTATTAAAGTTAGATGAAGATAACCGAGGCAATTGTAAAGATGAGATATTAGAGATATTAGAGACTAAATGGTTATCTTCAAAATAAACATCTCTGTTTATTGAGGATCCTTTTGGATCGACTTGCCTTTGGCTTTCTTTCTGTTTTGAACTTGTGTGGGAGTCCCTGATTGTTCTGCAGCGGCTGTGGCGGACAGGGAAGCTGCGCCACCGCTTGTCGCGTTTTTTTGACATCTAAAACAACTTGGTTTTGAAATACCAGGCTTTCCACATCCAAAACAGAAAAAATTCCTAGGTATACTACAGTTACTATATGTGTGTCCTTGTTTATGACAATTCCAACAAGTGATATTTGAGGAATTCGAAAGCATGGATAGACTTTTATTTTTAGCAGAAAAACCAGAGGTACTAGGAGTGCTTAAGTCAGATTCCAGATAATAGCTACTTTTTTTCGTATGAAAAGAGGAAAATGAGTTTGAACTTTGCGTCCACGTAAAAGATTCTTCGAGTCTTTTGCATTTCTCAGTTAAGGCATCAACGGTATCAATATCTAATAAAACTAAGGGCTGTACATATTTAGGAAGTAAGTTTCTACGAATTATCCTCACCCTAACAGACTCGTTAGGTGGGCATTCTAAACGATTAAATAAACCTTGCATTGAGTTTATAAAGACAGTTACTTTTTCGCTTTGGCCTTGTTTCCGAGATTTAATTTCCTCTAGTAAATTGTCTTGATAGTTATGCGGAAGAAAATCAGACTTTAATTTGGCTACAAGATCTTGCCAACTTTGGAAGTTATTTTTATGATTCAAATACCAAACAAAAGCTTTATCAGTAAACAATTCAACTGCACTAGAGAAAATTTCCATGTCAGTGGCTCCACGAGAAATTCTCAAACATTCGATACGTTCCAAAAAACTAATTACTGACTCATGTTCAGATCCCGAAAAGGTAATTCCCCATTTATAAATCGGTATTGATCTAGGAAAAGAAAAATGTTGCACTGAATGATTCTGATTCGTTGGGGTTGAATGTTCAAGTGGTCTATTTACTTTTAAGTCTAAGTCCCCCTCTAAAGAAAGTACTTCATTCAAAAAATCCTTTTTTAATTTTTCCTGATCATCATCTTGTGCATTTAAACGTGAAATTCTATTAGTTATATGAGTCAACCTGCACATTAACCTTTGATATTCGACATCTTTAATAGTTCCGGAAAAATCGTGAACTTTTACAGTTATGTCCCTAAGTGAATCTTCTATACCAGTACGTTCAACGGCAAAAGTTAAAGTATCACAATACGTCACTGAACTGCGTCCAGTTTGTTCCTGACTTAGTAATCCACGCAAAAGTTTACGTCTATCAACAGCATTAACAGGAACCTCTATACCGCGATAAGCAATTTCATGTTCTAACTCATGAGTCAATAAATAGTCTACATTAAATCTAAATTGAAATGCCATAGCGAAAAAGTTTAAAAATCAAAATCTTAAAAAGTTTTTAACTAATAAAGTTGAATAATTAAATTGATTTCCAAAGCAGGATTAATTCAAAATACACAACTATATAAAATCCCATAGTAATTAAAAAAAACGATGTTCTAAATGTATTCCAATAAATTATTACAGCCGATAGGAAGTGCAAAAGATGTTCGCAGATAATTAAATGTTTTCTTTTTCTTTTATATGTTCAATGTCAATAGAGCATAAAATTAAAACTCAAAACTCAAAAAAAAGTTCAACGGACAGGCAACGATAGCGATAAACGATAGAAGATAACGTGAAACACTAGTTTTTTTTTTTTTTTATTTTATTGAGGTATATGTATACCGAAAGCTTCCAAACAAAATTAATACACAATTTTTATTTCCGATAAAAAAGATAATAGGTAAAAGATAATATATCGAAAATACAAGGTACATACGAAAACTTAGGAAGCGGTCAGTTCATACACTTCAATGAATAAATCGCTAAATAAAGATAATAAAAATAAAATACCACAATCAATCGAAAAAAAAAAAAAGAAAATATAGATAGAAAAAAAAACTAGGTACTTCGAATACCAAATGGCTCGTAAGATATTTATAACCAAACTATTTGCCTACCCTTAACAGACAATTTACAGCAACAGAGACTCAAAATATCAATTCCCCCTAATAGTTGTAGAAAAAGTTGATGTCAACTTTTCTAGGCTATTCCACGTTGGGCTGCCAATGTGTTACCTTTTTTCTAGATTTCTAAGTTGTTGATTTTTTTTTTTTGATAAGTGATTTAGCTCAAATTGCTGATGTGTGTGGATTCAAAAAAAATTGACCAGGACAAGTAAAATTAGAGTACCTTGACCTGTTCGCGGGCCAAGATCTACTTTAAGATAAAATGAGAAATAAGATATTAAAAATGAGACAACAACAAAAAGAGTTGAGAGCCACCAAGTTTTTAGTTACTTGGAAAACTTATCCAATTTTAAATGTCCCGTTTAATTGAGTCCTGTCTCTGGTACTTAAAGTTATCTGTAAGGGTTGTGGCAAATAAAAGTAAATGAGAACATTTAATACATTTAATAAAAAAAAAATGAGATTAATCTTACATAAGTTAAATAGACAAATAGTTAGATAGTCAAATAGTTAAATAGTTAAATGCGTTATTGATTGTTTAATTTGACTGAATTTACTCAATGATGGTGGTATTTTTGTACATAGATACGGTACTTCCCTTTTATCATAGCTAGCGGCAACTAGGAGCTTCCTGGAGGAGCTTGTAGCTTCTTCTTAAAGATAGTACTTGAGGTAGAGTAGAGCAGTTGTAAGCTTCTTGGATACTGGGAGGAGTACTTCCTCTTAAATACTGGGATACTGGGAGGAGTACTTCTTCTTGAAACTGAGAGGAGTACTTCCTGGATACTGAGAGGAGTACTTCTTCTTAAATACTGGGATACTGGGAGGAGTACTTCCTGGATACTGAGAGGAGTACTTCCTGGATACTGAGAGGAGTACTTCCTGGATACTGAGAGGAGTACTTCCTGGATACTGAGAGGAGTACTTCCTGGATACTGAGAGGAGTACTCCTGGATACTGAGAGGAGCCACTACAGGTTAAGAAATAAAAGAACCTGAGTACCGTGTGTAAAAGTACATATACATGCCAGTTTGGAAATCTAACGGATTTATGCATAAACGGAATGAATATAAAATATCACGACAAATATTAAAGTTACGTCATCTGAACAAAATATAAAATATCACGACAAATATTAAAGTTACATTATCTGAACAGAATATAAAATATTTATAAGGCAAAAATAAGTTAGGAGCCATAAATTTCCGTTTAAACTGTATTTCCAAAATGACTTGTAATTCAATTATTTAGTTGCCTCCCCGCGTATATATCAAAGTAATTAAATGATAACACATTTATATTAATATATATATATAAGAAGCTTAAAAAAATATTATTAGTTAGGGTAGCTATAAACTATATAAAATGAAATAAAATATAGTAACCGGCTTTTTCCAGCATGGTAGTAATAAAAAAAAAGCATATGGCGGACCTTCGGTTTTGCAACGAAATCCAGCAAAATGGGAATAAAAGAAAAACATTTACCTGACAATTATCCCAACGATCACACTTAATAAACACAAATTAGAGAAAGATAATTACTAGCAATTCATTTTACTAAATTTATCGGCACGCTAGCACTGTTTGACTTTAAACACCAGAAAAGGAAAAACCAATTCACCTTTTAGGTTTTATATGAACTCCTGACTGAAAGAATCGCTACGGTCTATGCGCCGATATTAGCAGATCATGCGTAGACGATGCATGGTAAAAATCGATAATGGTAACAATGATACGACCGATGTTGTGTTACGAGGGGTTATGGAGAAGTTGTTGTTAAAAATAAATTTGAAAGTAATTTAAAATTAATTTCACGTAACAATAATAATAATAATAATAATAATAATAATCTTTATTAACCAACAAACGGAAAAGATTAGGAATTTTTAGGATTGAAGTTTTATCGGGTGGATTAAGACCAGAAGGGAACTGAATAGGAAATAAAATTTAATTTCTATTTTTAAAAAATTTCGTAAAAAGTAAAAAGCTGGAAATCAGCTGAGTCAATTTATATTGACGGACATAGGTGGTAGTCTATGACGGAAGAAGGAGAGTTGGATTTCTCGTTCTTGATAATGTTACGTTTTCACCATAAAATTGTCGCATTGTGTAGTAGAAATGAATTTTCTTTTGGACACGATGGGCGTGGTGGACGTAGCGGTAGGATGACCACAGGTAGGTTAAACCTGGTGGAATTGAAGGAATGGAGCCAGAGGGCCAAGCGGAATAAGTAAAGTTGACATGGTTGTCATTACAATTTTCGCGGACGGTGGGGCCATAGAATCGGTTCATATTACTGCGGACGTGAGCAGTACCGAATTGAGGTAGCATGACAGTGCTAGAATCACGGAGGGCGATTCCGACAGGATCAGAGTCATGTATCTTCCGTATGGGAAGATGAAACCTGGAATTTTCATTAAAGTTGGGGGGGACACTTAGAACATGTGTAATAGGGAGGCATCCTTGCATAAACATCGAATTATTTTCGGTTAATGACATAGCAATATTAGGGAGAGGGATGGTGGTACCATCAATATCGCCTTGTTCTATCAATAGACCTAGGGTCAAAGAATAGTTTATTGCACTTGGATTTTGAATATACGGTTGGAACCAAAATACGTCAGGATGGACGTGCTTTCGGCGGTCGAATGTATCATAATGAAATGGCGGGGAATTTTTATCATAAGGATTCTTTCCGACAAGGTAAAATACGGCATTAATGGATTCAGGAGGTGGTACGAGTGATGACTTATAGATTGGAGCAGAGGAAAGGTATTTTATTGAGGTAACATACGCTTTGTCTGTCACAGTGGAAGTATTTTCGGGTGTGGAGGCTGGAGCAGGAGGGAGGGAGTGCCAGGTTGGGATAACGAATGACCAAATTGAATGGTATAAGATGTTAACGCCAGATGGTTCACCAAGTAGTTGTCCAAGCTTGCGGGAGGAGGGAATCTCTTTTGAGATAAAAGAAGATATGTCTGAGAGTAGATCAAACATGACTTCGATATTTTCTTCAGAATAACATAAAAGAAATTCATAGGGATCAACAGACTGAGGATTGTCATATTCATAGCTTTGGAGTCTCGTCTTAGCGAGGGTGGGGCGTTGAATCAGTGCTCTGCCGATGACGGGATTGTAAACTTTTTCAAATCTGGTGTTGAGCCAGTTTGGATGGCAGGTGACGCGACCATTAGAGAGGTAGTACCCTCCAAGGAAGTGTGCTGGTGTAAAGTGTTCGTTGTCGATGGTTAGAACTGTTGTTGAATAGAAAGTACGAAGAGTATCTTCGGGGTCAGCATTGGTTCGTAGACTGGCAAGAAGGTTATGGGCTAGTATCATCAGGCATGGTGGGACGGTTCGGCCATAGTCGTGGGCGAAGCTAAAGCCTGCAAAAGAAGGGATGTAAAACATCAATTTTCTTTGAGGGTCATAGGTCGGGGCAAGCTGACTGATTAATGTGGCTAGTTCATCAGGAACATAGCAGTCCATTAACTTCGTGAGGTAGTCACTTTTCGCGGCATCATTCTTAAATTTAGATGCATTGTGAGAAACGGGTTCTCTGCAATGAATGTCACAAATAAGGAGATATGCGTTGAATAGAATTTGCTGGTAGGCTACAAGTGTGAATGCACTTACATAGGGATGAGACTTGGTGGTTAGATCTCTCACAAAAAAATTTTGATGTATCCACCCACCACAACTGTTGCATTCAACCCATTGAACAGTAACGTCTAGATCACTCACTCCGCCATATAGACATTCATACGATTTGTTTTTTTTTGGACGATTTATTTGATGAACAATCATCGCAGTAGAATGAACCCGTATCTACGAATGAGGGGACACAACTTGTGTGCATCCAACGATCGCAAGCGTCACAAGATACCCAGTCGACAGTTGTGTCAAGGCGACAGTAACCGCAATAAACGCACTTTTCTTCTAATGTTTCATCCGCAATTTCAATATATTCTAATTAATTTTTATCTTTGACACTTAATTTTTGCGCTTTAGATGTGTTTTTACCAGTTCTATTTCGTGAATCTAACCTTTTCAAATAATTTCCCGAGAAATGTGTGCTTGGAGCAGCTTTCTTCTTTTTATTTCATGATTCTTGCGGAACGTGCTCGTCCGAAGGATCAATTTTCTTTTTTACCTGTTTGGTTAAACGCGATTTAGGAATGGATAACATAAATTCTTTATGTAATGCCAGAACATTTTCTCGACTTTTGCTTAAATATCGGGAACACCTTATATTACTATTACTTTCTAAAATATTTTTTCAAGTGACAAAAAAAGTTTTCTACATAGGTGTTACTAACATGACGCTCGGTACTTATCCTTCTTAAAAGTATTCCAGTCCACAGAGAACAAAATGGCATATATTTGTATAAAATCATTTCGAAAAATTTTGAATTGTTATAGTCACTAGTAATTATTTTTTTAGACGAAGTAAGTTTAAGAGTGGCATCAATTTTATCGAACAATTTGTGAAAATGAATATAAAATTTACTCGATTTGTGTAACCCGTCCGATTTATCTTCCTTCTTGTCGTCATTATCAACTTTTTCGGGGTCTGTTCCTTGTATTTTTGTAATGCTCTCAACATCATGTTTCTCTCTCATACGTAGTAATTTATTGAAAATAATTTTAACACTATCATTAAATATTGCACTCAATAAGAGTATAGTAATGCTTTGAAACCAAACGTCAATTTCGCTCAGATTTTCCATATTTACGGCACATGCCATTATGTCTTTATAAAAACCTCGTACATTGTTATCCGAAAAGCACGCGTTAACATCCTTACTGAAATTCTTTATAAGATAGGTGTGTGGATGTGGGTGGGTGTGGGTGCGTTCGTGCGTGCGTGTGCGTGTGTGTGTGTGCGCGCGCGCGTGTGTGTGTGCGCGCGCGCGCGTGTGTGTGTTGTTGGGAACCTCTCGTTGAATTAATTAAAAGATTCACTTTACTTTTAATAATAATAATAATAATAATAATAATAATCTTTATTAACCAACAAACGGAAAAGATTAGGAATTTTTAGGATTGAAGTTTTATCGGGTGGATTAAGACCAGAAGGGAACTGAATAGGAAATAAAATTTAATTTCTATTTTTAAAAAATTTCGTCAAAAGTAAAAAGCTGGAAATCAGCTGAGTCAATTTACATTGACGGACATAGGTGGTAGTCCAAAGGATCCGTCTAAATTTTCTCTTACGGCAACTGAAAATTGCGCCGGAGCACCATCGTGCTGGAACCACATTTGATTTCTTTGTATTAAAGGAATGTCATCTAAAAGATCACCCAATGTTTTCTGCAAAAAGTTTAAGTAGTCAGCTCCCGTTAATCGGTTAGGTAGTACAATCGGACCTAGTAACCAGTCGCCATAAATACCCATCCAAATGTTTAATGAAAAACGAACTTGATACCTGGATTCCACGATACTATGGGGATTTTCGTCTGCCCACATATGCAAATTATGGAAATTAAAAACTCCATTTCGTGTAAACCCTGCCTCATCAGTAAAAAGAATTAGTGCAATAAAATTGGGATCCTCAGCATCATTTCTCAGAAACCATCGACAAAACTCCAAACGTGCTTGATAATCAGGTGCATTCAGAGCTTGCACTCGTTGAAGATGGTACGGGTAAAGCTGCTGCTCGTGTAGGATTCTTCAAACCAGAGGAGCCCCAATTCCTACCTCCGCTGATATTCTTCGCACACTAGTTTCTGGATTCTCTTCTACTCGTGCTAAAATTGCTTCTTCTGCCTCAGGGGTGGACACCGACCTTGGTCTCCCGGAATCATGTGACTGTTTCCCAAATTTACCTGTATCACGCAATCTTTGGTGCAATCTTCCAAACACACGAACTGAAGGGATGTGGCGATTAGGGAAAGCGTCGATATACTGACGTAGCGCTTCCCTCGCATTGCCATTTGCACGACCGTACATAAAATGCATGTCAGCTAATTCAATATTAGTGTAAACAGGCATAACGAAAATTTATAAAATTATTCACCCACAACAAAATAATAACTGCAAATAGTATCTATGAAAAACATCGGTAGACTCCGATAAGAAAAGCAAGTTTTTGAGAATGAAAAAAGATAATCAAAAAATGATACAAAACACTGAAACTGAAACCATTCATTTGCGGACATATGTTTATTAAGACTTTTCTGCATATTTTGGCCCATACTACCCTCCGTTTTATTTTGTGACACTTTTTTTTTAACACCCTGTATATATTGTTAATAAAACTTGATAAAAAATTGTAAATAGAATTAATATCAATATAAAAAGTAAATATACTAAAAGTACTTAAATATTATAAGAATTGAATATAAGAATATAAGTAATATGTGTATATATTATATTAAAATATAATTAATAATAATTAAAATATAATTTAAGAAATGTCTTTTTTTTTAATTGTTAGAGTTTAAATATTTTCTTATCTTCTTTTTTCTTTTTGAGCGGCAATAATTCCGCTCTGGTGGCGATCATCTCTGGCAGAGAGATGTAATCTAGGGTCTCATCTGTAGTTGGAAGGTCGATACTGCGAACACTACCTCTAGCGCGAGGTAAATCCCAATCGGTGTGGAGTCGGCTGTTGCTCACGTTGTTGACTGTTTATGCAAATCATGTATTTGCAATTGTCTGGACCAAACATCCGTCTAAACCAGGACCATCTTTGGTGGTTGCAACACTTACAGCATCCGCAATACATCAAAATTAGGGATACAATTGTTGCTAATATTCCCAATAATATATTGTACCATTTTGAATGATGGACGATGAAAGGTTTAAGTTTTCTTGGAGTTCTGCGTCGAATTCTTGTAGTTTATGTTGAGCTAGCCTACGCTCGTTTATATTTAGGTTCAAAAAGGTAAATCAAACGAGGGTGGTCCTTAGGATCTCACAAGAGTATTTTATTACGACCGGTTTCGAGGATCAGATCCTCATCATCAGGTAAGGTCTAAAAATAGAGAGGAAAAACGAATGAGCTCATAACTAATAAAGTGGGTTTAAACATTTTAATATGAAAGTTGTCAAATATCAAGAACTCACCCGTAATTACTCGTCTATTTAAGACTAAGCTAAGAGAATTATCCCAGGGTCGGTGTAAAAACAAGTATGCGAGTATTTTTTAAAATACATAAAAAATATAAAAAACAATAGTTGCAACAAAAAGTTGATGTCAAAACACATAAACAAAAGTAGGTCTAAAACTATTAATTAAAATTATTAAAATATTTCACGAACGGACAAACAATTAAGACAAACAAATTTAAAAGCTTTTTAAACCCTACAAGCACTAAAATGGGTTCTTGGACAAGTGTTTATAATTCTACAGGAATTAAATTTTATTTAGATTAAATATACTGATTAACGCCCTCAAGATGTAAATAGACGAATTAACCATTCTAATATTTAAGATAACAGTTTAGAGGTTGTCAAATTTAAATATTTTGACCATCGGCTAATAGATTTAGGATTTGGTTTACCTGAACGGGGTTTCTAGACAAAGCGTCTACGTTAGAGTTAACTCTACCTGCTTTGTATCTTATTTCATAAGAATATTCTTCTAATTTAAGTCGCCAACGAACTAATCTACTATTAGGATTTTTGCAATTAAAAAGCCAAGTTAATGGACGATGATCTGTCAAAACTATAAATTTTCTGCCATATATGTATGGACGGAAATGTTCTACTGCCCAAACAATAGCTAATAATTCTCTTTCTATTGTCGAGTAGTTACACTCTGCTTTATTTAATGTGCGTGAAGCATAAGCAATTGGCAGATCTTTGCCGATTTCGCCTTGCGACAAAATGGCACCAATGGCATAATTAGAAGCATCTGTGGTCAATAGAAAAGTTTCATTAAAATTTGGATATTGTAAAATGGTTTCTTTAAAATATTCAAATGATTTTTGTTGTTCGTCTTTCCATTCGAAAGGTACGTCCTTTTTTAAAAGAGACGTTAAAGGTTTAGCTAATTTAGAAAAATCTTTAATAAATCTACGGTAGTAACCGGTTAATCCAAGAAATCGTTTAATTTGTTTTGGACTTTGTGGTTGTGGGTAGTTTTTTATTGCATGTATTTTATTAGGATTCGGTGAGACACCTTTATCGCTAATTACATGTCCTAGGTATGCAACTTCTTTATGCATGAATTCACATTTGTCAGGTTGTAATTGTAGATGATTTTTCTTTAGTCTGGAAAATATATTTTTTAATTTATTTGTATGCTCTTCTATTGAAGATGCAAAAATAACTATATCGTCTAAATAAACAAAGCATTGTAGACCTTGTAATCCGGCCAATGCAGTGTTCATAACTCTTTGAAATGTACTGGGTGCGTTTTTCAAACCAAATGACATTCTGAGATATTCTAAATGACCAGAAGCGGTTGAAAATGCGGTTTTTTGAATATCTTCTTCTTTCTTTAAAATTTGATGAAAACCGGAAGCCTTATCGAGAGTTGTGAAATATTTAGAGTGACCAAGTTGGTCTAAGATATCTTCTGTTAGGTAAGGGGTAGGCATCGCCTATCGTTATATCATTTAATTTTCTATAATCGGCTACTATTCGAAACTTCTTTTCTTGTGCGGAATCTTGTTTTTTAGGAACTATCCAAATGGGTGCGTTATAAGGACTGACAGATTCGCGGATTATACCTTGTTTTAACATTTTAGATATTTGTCTATTAAGTTCGTCTTTATAAATTTCTGGAAATCTATAAATTTTAGATGTAATTCATGTGTCGTCATTTACTCTAATTTCATGCTTTACTATGTCGGTAT